TTTTTTTTTTTTTGCCTGAAATGATATGAACAGAAACCATAGCTCCGTTAGCACTGACATACACAGAGAACACAGCACTAAGCTTAAAGTCTGCCGACTTCCAAGAAACGTACTATTCTGAAGGAACCAAAATCCATCCCTCGTCTTGAAATACCACTTGTTTGGACTTTAATGTTGCCCCGCATTTCGTGTTTGCCCCTCGTGAAATGCTGTGGAGGATGAGAGAAGAACGTCCTCCTCCGCACCCTTCTCATCATCCGTGACACCTGCCGGAGGGAGAAGCCTCGTCCCCGAGTTCCCCGTCCGGTTACCCCGGTAACTGGCCTTCCCACTTAGCCTGCCTTGTAGATCTTATTCCTGGATTTGTCTCTGTAAGCACCACTTTAATTCAAATACTCACCATTCAGCAACTGACCTATTGCAGCCTAATGTGTGATTATGTTAAAGGAGCATAATTAAGAGTGAAAGTTACTTATAATTCCGAGATTGTCACTGTCTGTGTTTCTAGTCACAATGAGTTGGTAGCAGCCATACTATTTTCCTTTCCTTTGCACTCAGTATGACACTGAGTAGTGTACCTTTGTCAGTAAATACATGTCTTGTGTTAGTTTATAGTTTCTAACACAAATAATTGCAATAAACAACTTCTAAAGAGAAAAAGTTTATTTCAGATTGCAGCTTTGGAAGTTGCCATCCACAGTTCATTGCCCCAGGCCTGATCCTGGCAGGGGCTGTGGGAGAGCACTGGAGGGAGGGGTCCCACCATGTGCAGGGACCTGGCACCCACCCACCAGGCTGTGCTCTGCAGACTCTGCACCTGCTAGGGTGCCAATCCGGAGCCAGGCCTTTGTGCGCAGACCTCGGGCAGGTTATTAAGTCCAGGTCTGGCACCTCTGCCAGTTGGAAGCCACTCATGTGATTCTGTAGAACTGCTTTGCGTAGAATGCTTTCCCTGACCCCTGTGACTCCTTGGGGCCCTAGCCAGTGACAACTGTCACATCTTGTCTGGCCGCACAGCAAGGAGATGAAAATCTGCAGTAATTTAGGCGATCTGGTAGTGTACAAGCATGAGGCAGCTGAGTATTCGCAGCCACGGAGATGTTGGAGCTCTGCATGGAACCATCAAGGGCGGTGACGGTGAGAATCAAAGCTGGAAGCTGAGGGAGCCCAACAAGGTGGTGCTGGGGACAGCGCCCACCCATCGCTCTGGTGTCATCACCTGTCACTGCTGCTCTGTCTCCTGACAGCCACCCCATAGCACGTACGCTCCTGTCACGTGGCTCTGACGCCAGACATGCTTTTCTTCCTGGCACAACCCCCGGGGGAGGGAAATTCAGAGCACTTCCTGATTGTTCTGAATTGTTCCGTGCTTCAGCTAAACCAGTAGGTGCAGATCTTAACCTTAACGGTGCTGCATCCTGTGGACTTACATTAGCCTGTTTCATATTTACTTACGGCCATAAAGCACGCAAGGTTCAGTACCAGTTACAGTTTGAGTTTGTCTTACCCCAAATCCTTGGGGCCAGAGTATTTGAAACATTTTGGAGTTTTTCTCACCTCGTCCTGTTTGCACAAGCTTTACTGGCTGAGCATCCCTAGGGTATAATACTCTAAAGTCTGAAACTTTGACTGCCATGTCAGTGCTGGGAAGGTTCCAGAGTCTGGAGCAGTTTGGACCATAACGTTTCAGATAGGGGTGCCACACTGTGTATGGCAGAAAGTATGAGGACAGCGGAGGGTGTCAGGGCTGAGGTTATCTTGCCGTGGGAGAGCTCCTGCTTTGTAAGCACAATGCCCTGGGTTTAATCTCCAACACTGCAAAAAATTGTAATTTATCTACTGTTTATTGTTCCTAATTATAAAGTCACAGTGCTTGGCGTATAGTCGGTGCCTGACACGTAGTGAACACGGAACAAAAAAACCAAGATGAATACATTGAAGACTAAATTGGCCCATGTTTTGTAGGCAGCAGGGAATCAAGATTATTAAGAGAGAGAGAGTTGTGAACAAAGAAATACTCAGGTGTGTGTGTGAAGGTGTGGGAGGGGCGGAGCGGTGTGGGCAGACCGGTTAGAAGCCATCCCTGCAGTCAGTCAAGTAAGGAGTATCAGGATCGCACCTAGGGAGGCGAGCTGCAGGTGCACGGGAAGGCCCGAGTTCAGAGGCAGGGCCGCTCTGCTCGGCTGCAGTGCTGAGCAAGTGGTCCAGAGACTCAGATGCGGCGCTGTGGCCTCACCGACCCAGTCCCTGCCCAAGATCCCTTCACCAAGCACGGCTTCAACACAGATATCCAAGCCGTGACCTCCCGGCCTGAAGTCTGGCGTCCATCTCACAATGCGTGCTGCGCTGAGTCCTCTTACGAAGGTTCCAGAGGCTTCACAGTTCCATCATTTCGAGAAAGTCCAAGTGCAAAGTCTCCTTTGGGACTCAAGGCGAACTCTAAGCCGTGAACCCATTGAAGTAAAAAAGCAAGTTATATACTCCCAAGATAGCGTCAGTATTCCATGTCAGAGGTCAGGTGGGAGCAGATCAGAGAAAACCAGAGAAGATTCTGACCATGGCAAGACCAGAGCCCATGTGCTCTGCTCCACAGCTGGCACGGAGGCAGTGGGAATGAGTGTGGGCAGAGGCGTGGGCAGCCCTCTCTGGCCTGCAGGAAAGGAACACGGCCTCCTTGGGCTGGGTCTGGCCTGTGGCTTTCCCTGGCTGACAGTCCCTGCTCCTGGTGTCTCCAGCTTCCGGGCAGATTGATTCAGTGTTGGACATGCTCTCCTACAAGAGGCCGCCTTCTGATTGCATCCTCGCCTGACAGAAAAGGGGATGAGGCACCCTCCGGCCTCCTTCGTGGGACCCCCATCTCATTCATGACACTTGGACGCTTCGGCCCCTGCCTCCCCTGGACCCACACTGCTGTGGAGATTCTCTCTGAGGGCGCCGCAGAAGCCAGGGCACCTTGCTCGCTCTGCCCTTCTGTTCTCAGCAGAAAGCCCATGTGTTCTTCTTAGTGTATACACAGACAGTTCTCTGTAGTTCCCTTCGTAGGTGGTGTCCCACAGCTGATTTCTGGTAAAGTTAAGAATCGATCCATGGCGTGAATGAGACTAAGTGGTAGGTAGTGGGATTTGTAGTGATTTCTGAACGCCTGAGTCTGTTGGTCCTGCCGGGATGAACAGCCACTCCAGTAATGATGTGAGTCAGCTGTTCTCAGCTCATTAGACGTGGGAGCGAGACCGGAGCTCCGGGCCCAGCCCTCACATGCAGATGGATATTCAGCCTCGTTCCGTAACCATGCCTGTCCTGCACAGTACGTGGGAGTGTGTGGTCCTGTTCGTGATGGTTCCGGACAAAGTGAACCTAATGCATTCAGTAGCCATCCAGAGCCTCGCGGTGTTTGAGGGTATTACTTTACACATGTAGAAGAACTGACTTCCTTGTGAGGCTCTAATAACACGCCGGGGCAGGGAGAATCGGTACTGGCCAGAAAGCAGGCGCCCAGCAGGGTGCGTTCAGTGTGCTGGCTCCCACGTTCCGTGTCCCCATGTGTGCAGCTCCTGCCACAGCTGACTCAGGGTTGACTGATACGCAGACGTTTACTCAGCTGCGTCTCCTACTCCTCCACCTGGCTGTGGACGCAGGGTTCTGAGACTTGCTCAGCAGTGTGCTGTGACTTCCTCCTTGTCCAAACATTCACGTAGATAGGTAGGTAGGTAGCACGAGGGCTGCAACAAATGAGAGCAGTTACATTGTAGTTGGAGTTGTGAATGGCCGTTCCACTTAAGATGGCTTTTCTGCACAATCTTTGTTACTAATGTATTTCTGCATTTGAAGTTAGTCTTACTGAATTAAGGGTGATTACATCTTAATCTCATCATGACATTGTTCTTTCTGTAAAATTTGTAATCTCAAGAGACAATATTGTAAGTGATTTGGAAATAAAGACATTTTTTATGTGTAGATACCGAAAGCTCTCACCTAAGGGCTGTTACTGATGTGTACATTCATTCAAGAAAGACCTTTCAAGATTTTTATAAGCATGGTAGGATTTGCACCTCTGCTTGTGAAGGCAGGAGCTGTGTAAGTGACTGTGGACAGGAGCATCATGGTGCCGGTGTCCACTCCGGCCCAGCAGTACAGCCCTTTTGGACTCTTCACACCCTGTCCTTTTGCAGCTATGAATACAGCGAGTAAGAACTCCTTGTTTTTATCTTCAGCCATCAAATATGCCAATTTACAGTTTGTCGGCTATAGTTGTTATAAAGCACATTATCCCTCTGTGATTTTGCACTTTTCACCCATGAAACACTGACTCTCCTTTCAGAATTGCATACTCAGTGTGCAGATGGATGTGAACTGGGGCTGTGCAGGCCAAGCAGGTCATGGTCGATTCCCTCCTTGTCTCTGGGGCCCTCAGCTCACTCGCTGTGGCTCTAAGCAGAGCAGTGTCTCCACAGACACACTTCTCATCAGCCAGAGAAGACGCTGGCTTACATAGCAGTCTTCACTCCCTGGGAGATTGGTTTTGGAGTCTGCCACTTTCTTCCTCTGTGTGTATGAATAATTACGATTAATATATTATAGCTTACTTGGTGTGTGGAAGTCATTTAGCAGATTCTGAAATAATCCTTAGAGAATCTAAAGATAGCAGATGATTCTTTTCCAGTTTGTATTGACTAGCTTCTTGACTAAGCTATTAAAATTTAATCAAAGTCAGAAACACTGTTATGAATACCAAAACCGTAAGAATCTTGAGCTGGACCCCCTTAGAGTATAACTCTGAAGAAGTTGGAGTGGCTTTGACCTGCTAGTCTGTGACTTAGAGATGCATCATCACGTATGACTCTTGACTTTTAAAGTCCTAATTATTCTGTTTATTACAGCTTTAGGAGAATTACTTGAAGAATTTGTGCTTCATGTCACTGAAATTCCATCCGAATGCTACTTCCCCTCAGTGGAATACACAGGTACGTTTTAAATATTAAAGAAAAAGTCTGAAGACTGCCCAGTGTGAGGACAGTGCTTCGTGGAGGTGTAGTAGATTACAAATATGCCTGAGTTTTCCGCCTCACTGGCTGCAAGTCCCTGTGCGGAAGCCTGGTTTCCTGGTAATTTGGAACTTGGTCTGTCCACCAGAAACTGTTTTTCCTCAGGTATCTTCCACTCTTCTGGTTTTATGAGGCATTCTCCAGTGATCTCTTGTGTGTGTATTTCTTATGCCTTAGTCTGTTTGCTGCTGCAGTATCATTGTGTAAGTTACAAAGAAAGGGGTTTGTTTGCTTTACTCCCAGCTCTGAGTTTCGGAAGGGTCGGACGGACCTAGTCAAGCCACAGCACTCAGTCACCCTTACAGACCGATTCCTGTACGTCTGCTGCTCACACATCTGCTGCAAGTTTCATGCTCGTAACTCCAGCTGCACAGTGGATAAGCATCACCTGCGTGTGGCAGCACCCTTCAAACCCGGGGGACCCGCGGGGTCTTCCCTGCGTCAGTGTCCTCACTCTCCCCCTCACGGGCACCAAGCTGGAGCTGTAGGTTCCTCATCCTCCTGAGGCCCACCCTTCCCCCCACTGAGCTCCTCTCTGCGCCTTGGTGTGTCTGGAGTTTGTCAGATTCCCTCTGTCTGGGGTGTGCTGTGGACTCCGCCCCTTCCTCAGCTCGGCGTCTGGCTCCTTTTTAGATCATTGTTCTCCGCCCTTGGACGGAAGTGGAAGCGGGGCCCTGACCATTCTCCGGTGCTGGTTCCGGTCTCAGCTGAGCCAGAGCCATGGCGTGTGCTTTGGCACTCCCTCCTGTCTCTAGAACCACCCTTGTGTCTCGTTGGGAAGACACTGACCTCTCCACACACTGCCGGTGTAGAGAGATGTCACACCCTGTGTGCTGCACTTTCTGTCCCTGGGACACACCGGGGACAGAACAGGCTTGGCCGTGTGGAGTTCCGATTCTGGTGGGAGGACAGGAAATGAATACCTGAGCGGTTCGGACGGTTTGCTGCTGAATGAGAAGGATCCAAGAGAGGAAGGGTCCTGGAGAGGTGCTTGGGTGGGGTCCGTGCCAGTCTGCAGGGGTGGGTGATGTGCCGATTTGCCTCTGTGGCTCACTGCGGCCACAGCATGGAGAAAGGACTGCAGGGAGCGACTCAGACGCTCTGAGAAGATCCAGACGAACATGGATGTCCGTGGGGAGGTGGGAGAAGGGCTCCATTCTCTGGTGTGCTGAGGCTGAGCTGGACAGGCGGGTGATGGGGGAGATGGGTGAGAGAGGATGCACGGTCTGCGTGATGTGGGGCTTGGCTCCGAGGCTGGAGGGTGGGACGGGATCGTGCAGTGACGGCGAGGCGAGGAGAAGCCGGCCCTGCTCTTGTGTCCTACTTTGGATCCTTGGTAGACGACTTGCACTCATTGGATTTGAGAGGAAAGGTACGGGCTGGAAACACCGGTCACTAAGCCAGGAGCCCGGTGCAGGAAGCAGTAGCATGTCTCTCTGTCGTTTTGTTCTTACATTCTGACCAAACGTCTGGTTCTCCATAAGCTCCCCTAGGGTGGTTTCTGTCTCGCCTATCATTGCATCCTCTGCTCTAGAAAAATGTCAATAAACAATTTGCCGAATTAAAAACAAGGAAAGGATAAAGGGATGGAAGAGGGACTGACCTTACCTCGAATGGCTTACTCTTTTTGCCTATTAAAGTTTCTGAGCAGAAGCCTTATTTGATGTATCTGTATCTTAGCAAGATTATTTTAGTGCTGTGTGAGGACGAAGTAGGGCAGAGAACTGAAACTGGCCGGAGACGGAAGTCCCGTACTCAAGGGCACCATGGGCTCAGCGATGGGCAGGGGACAGCGGTGGCCTTCCGTCACGGGTCGGACAGCTCTCCCCCCACGGGAACGTGCTTCCTCCTTTTGCCAGAGAGACTGCCGCTCAGCTCAGACATGTGTCATTGCTTCAAGCTGCACATGGTGTCATAGTCATATTTCCATGGAAAACATTGTCAAATGCCGTCTGTGCCTCCAGTCTGGCCAGGCCTGTCTTCCTCGCCTGGTTACAAATCCACCAGTGAGCTGACTCACTGCGCCTGCGCCCTCTGACCCTGGCACGTATTACTCCTGGGTTCATCGTCCCCACCCGTGATGCCGCGTGGTGGCGTCAGATCAGCCATGAAGCTCCAGCTAGAGAGTTGCCTCCTCTCCTCTCCTGCCTTCCCTTGAAAACAGCTATGTCCGTAGTTTCTGTCTTCTCTATGGCAGGCCTAAATTGCTCTGTTAGCTCTCAGGTACCTTTGTACCTTTCCTAAGGCCTTTGAATAAAGAACTTGCTGTTAAGTTGTACCTGTAATTCCCACAGATATAATTTGAAAGCATTTCTCAATGTACTGATGTTTATAAACACAGATGAACCTGTAACTTTACACCTAGTAACAGATAATGCAACTTTGGGAAAGGGATCAAAGACATCATGAGAGAATGAAAACAAAGAAATGAGAAATGATTAAAAAAACAGGTAGATGCAGGGATCTGTCTGTTGAGTTCCCTTGTAAA